TATATATATATATTCACATATTTGTGAAGAAATAAACAATAGAACAAGTTTGTTTTTTTTTAAATTAGAGTTCTTTATTGCATCCAAGGTCAGGTTAAGGCTTTGAGAATGAATGTTCAAAATGGTGGAGTAGACTCTAATATAACCTACCCAAGAAGAGATAATTCTGAGTTGATTGGGCTAATTGCAAAACAATTGTAGATGTTGATGGATATTTTGAAAGGTCAACAAATAAATTGTAATAAGAAGATGAGAGACGAGTGCAACACTACCGAATGGATTATTGATACCAGAGCTTCAAACTACATGACCAGAAACTTAAACAATATGTATGATTTGCACAAAGTTGCCCAATAAGACTCCCTAATGGACAACACACAACTAGGCATGACAATTGAACTCACACTCGTAGGTACCTGTCCAACCCCGATTTGATTTTGAGGGGAAAAATATACTTTGACCTGATACGAATTTTCTTTAACTTGAGAAATTGAGTTCAAGTACGGGTTCGAGTATGTAACTTCTCGCATGCATACCCAACTTGTTGTATTTTTATAGCATTATATATACACATATATAAATATAAATATAAAAATTAAAGTTAAATTTTTAATTTTTATAAATATTTAAAATATAAATTACGGGGGCAAGTATTGGAAGAGGAAAACCTACTCCATTGCCATCCCTACACACAACAAAAACAAAAAAAAGGAGTTGTTGTGTTGGATGGAGGCTTGAAAATCACTAACGTTCTTTATGTTCCTAAATTGCAATGCAATTTGATATCAATTTCTCAGTTAATGGATGAATTGGATTGTGTTGTTCAATTCACTAATAAATTATGTGTTATGTAGGATTGCATTTCAAGAATGTTGATTGGTGCAAGTGAACACGTGGATGGACTATTATTTGGGGGGATTTTGAAGAGTGAAGGCTTATAAGATTGAGGGAATGAGTTTCATAGACTTGTGGTACAAACGAATGAGACACCCTTCAATGAACATTACTTAGTTAATTCCTGGATCTAGTAGACATAAAGACAATATGTTATTAAATAAAGCATGTGATATTTGTTTTAGAGAAAAGCAAATTAGAGAGAAATTTCCATTGAGTGAACATAAAGCTAGTGGTACATTTGAGTTAATCTATTGTGTTTTATGGGGACCATATAAGACCCCTTCAACATGTGGTGCTTTCTATTTCTTGACAATTGTTGATGATTATTCACGTGTCATTTGGATATTTTTGTTGATTGATAAAAAATAAGGTATCACAAAAACTTCAAAAAAAATTGCCTTAGTTGAGAGGCAATTTCATAAACAAGTAAAAATATTTTGAAGGGATAACAAGACTAAGTTCACATGCATGAGAAAATATTTTCTTTATCATGAATGATTTTTCAAACATCTTGCATTGCAACTCCCCAACAAAATGAAAGTAGAAAGGAAACATAAACATATTTTGAATGTGACACGAGCACTATAATTCCAAGAAAATCTTCCCATTGAATTTTGGGGAAAATGTATTTTGGTTGCAGGTTATCTAATCAACCAAACTCCCTCCACGGTGTTGAATGGAAAGACTCCTTACGAGATATTGCGTGGACAAAAAACCATGTGTGAACATTTGAGGGCGTTTGGATCATTGTGTTATTCACATCATCATCAAGGAAGAAAAGGAGATAAAGATTTGCAAGTCAGAGTAGAAAGTGTGTTTTTATTGGGTATTCATATGGTAAGAAGGGTTGGAAGTTGTTTGATTTGGAGACACGAGTTCTTTGTCTCTTAAGATTTCAAATTCTTTGAGTCAATGTACCTTTTTGCTAGTGACAATGCACTCAAAGAACAAAGTAACCATAATGTTAGGAATTTTAATGAATATTTAGAAAAGGTAACTTCTGAGGAGCCTTGGACAAGATTCTATGGGAAGTGTAACCTTAGTGGATGACAAAAGGGTGCACCAAATGATTAACTTATTGAACAATAGGGTAGAGGACACATAGTAAAACAACCATTTGTGACTCACACTACTAAAAGAATGAGCTCATCCAACCATTCATCCTCCTCAATAGTATGCTTAGATGATCTTTATCACATGTCACACTATGTGAGTTGTGACAATTTTTCTCTAGCACATCATGTTTTTCTTGTCTCTATTTCACAAGAAAAGGAACCATTTTCTTATGCTAAAGCATTAAAGGACAATAGGTGTAGGGAAGCCATGATAAACAAGATACGGGCTATTGAAAATAATAGAACCTGGGCATTGACACATTTACCCCTTGGGAAGAAAATGCTTAGTTGTAAATGGGTCTATAATAAAGAATAAATCTAATGGGAGAATAGAAAGGTTTAAAGAGTGATTAGTTATTTTTGGTAATCATTAGGTGGAAGGGATTGATTACACTGAGACATTTGCTCCTGTTGTCAAAATGGTGACTATGCGTACAATGTTAGTGATAGTGGGTGCAAAGGACTAGGAATTACATGAAATGGATGTTCATAATGCATTCTTGCATGTGGAACTTGAAGAGGTCGTTTATATGAAGTCACCACTCGACTTCACTGTTCATGACCCTAGGATGGTCTGTCAACTCAAGAAGTCTCTCTATGGGCTTAAGCAGGCTCCTCGATGTTGGTTTGCAAAGTTGTCTATTGGCTACTACATTAAAGAAGTATGAGTTGAAACAATCACTTTCTGACTAATCTCTTTTTGTTTTGCTTAAACAACACTTATTCCTTGTAGTTTTGGTTTATGTGGACGACCTTACATATCATTTTCAGAAATGATCATGCAACTATTAACCTCCTCAAGGATTATTTGTATACTTGTTTCCATATGAAAGACCTAGGAAAACTTAAATATTTCCTAGGTGTTGAAGTGGCTTGCTCTTCTAGTGAAATTTTTCTTTATCAACAAAAATGTGTTTTGAATATCATAAGAGAAACAAAACTTTTAGGAGCAAAACCAACAAGTACTCCCATGAAGTAGAATCATCATTTAGGTCTTGTTACGAGATTATAATTATTTCATCCTAATCAATGTAGATGATTAGTGGGACTCCTTATCTACCTTTGTTTTATTATACCAGAATTGTCTTATTGTGTCCACATATTATTTTAGTTAATGCAACAACCTAGAGGAGAGCATTGGGAATAGTTGTGTTGTGAGAAATTCACTACTTAAGGGGGAATATAGGGTAAAATGTGCTCTTGAGTAGAAATTATGATTTGTAATTGACTACATGGTGTGATTTGGATTAGGGAAGTTGTCCCCTTACTCTCAAGTCCCTCACAGGATGACTTATTCAGTTGGGTAACTCTCTTGTTTCTTGGAAAACAAAGAAGCAACCCATAGTTTCGCACTCATCCACTAAGGTTGAATATCGTTCCCTGACAGCCATTGTCTACGAGATGAAATGGTTAAAGGAAATTCTTTTCGACCTTGGTATTTCACATACTCAACCTATACGTGTTCATTGTGATAGTCAAGTTGTTTTCTACATTTCCAAAAATCCAATTTTCATGAACATACTAAACATATAGATAGTGATGGTCATTTTGGTTGAGATGAGATTCTAAAAGGCAACATTAGACCTACTTACGTCTGTACCACTATGCAATTGGATGATTCAATCTCGTATCCAACAAATATTGGTTGAGTAATAGTGATGTGACAAACAAATAACAACCATATCCATGATGAATAACGAACAATTATTATTTTTTGATGAAATTGATTAAGGGATCTACAATTTTTGGTGTTATGTAAATTTTTTAGTTTTAGGAATTTGTTCTTTGATTTCGGATTTTATTTTTTATTTTGCTATGAATATTGGATTTTTTATTGTTTATTTTATTTCTTGAATTTTTGTTATTGCAGTGTGAAACAAAGTAAAATTTATTAAGTATACATGAAAATAGTCTTGCTAACAAGTACTCTAAAAGTATTTGTTAAAAAAAATCAATATGTAAAATTTATTTATTAAGAATTATAATAAATTTAGGAGAATTACCACGGTATTCATATAAATTGAGTTGTTTTGATACATTCAATTTTTAAACCAACATATGAAATGATGTGTATTTTTTTTTCTTTTCACTTTTGAATAATTTAAGTCAATTTATTCTTTCTTATCATTAAATATTGGTCTAAATATTTCAAATCATTTTATAGAAATTAAAATAAGAGTGAAAAAACACAATAAAATTATTGATAACTTATACACAAGTGTTAAAAATCTCAATTCTTCATGGTTCATAAGATCATCAAAATATACCCTTACTAAAAGGATAAACTTCATAAAACCTTTGTTTATTCCGTATACACACTTGCATGTGCGTACACATACACACATCTCTTAAGATCTCTCTTTCCAACTACACTTTTTTCATATACAAAATTCAAATTCAAAGCCTTATTAAAAAAAATAATCCAATGTTATATATATATATATATATATATATATATATATAAAACAATTCCAAAACCTTTTAAATTTATAAAAGTACAGTAGGATTTGTCTGATATTTGAAAAAATGTGCAAATACATTCTTACCATAAAAATGTTCCACTTTATTTTTAACCTATCTCGTAAGATATTAGTCAGCATTTTCCTATAAAAAAAAACTTTAAATTAGTAAAATTATTTATACATTCAAAACTTTAATAATAAATACATGGATTTATATTACGTTTGGTTGAACTGCTGTACAAATACAAACATATAGGTTGTTTGTATTGCAATTTCGTTTAACATAACTAAAAACAATACTGCACTTACTTTAATATAACACTACACGATAGTTTTTTTTTTTTTTTTTTTTATATTGGAAAGATGAAAAAATTGATTCAACATCGTTGAATGGTTACACACTGTTAATATGTTTCGATATTGAACTCTAAAATTATAGAAAATTATTGAAAAAAATTAAAGTAACTATTTATTATTATTTTTTTGTCTTCAACGTACTTTTATAATAATTAATTTTGGATAAAATCAAAATCTAATCAAAACACACTTAGATTGAGAGGACATTAACAATACATCCAAATACTTTTTAAAAGTAGATGGAATTTTAGAAATGAGAACAACATTTTACATCAAAATTAGGATTAAGAAGAAAAAAAAAAAATCTAACGGCTCTAATTTCACGGGCATCCCTTAGTAGAAGTAACAAGATAATCACAATCCTCTATCGATGCAAACTTTTTTTCAGTCCGGAAGAATATTAACTTTAAAGTGATTGGAGTAAAAGAAAAAAGAATCGAGAAAAGCAAAAGGAAAATAAAAGAACCTTTGCGAGGAGTGAAATCAGAACAGCCAGATATTGACATGTCAGCATTTGACGTGGCATGGTTACACTACTAGTAGCCATGGGCGATCTGAGAGCACTTTTTCTTGATCCACCGAAGCCCTTTCCGGAGCGTAGCCTTAACCTTCCCTTCCACGCCGTAAACCTTGTACTTGGCTATCCTTTTCTTCCGCTTCGTTTCTGGATCGCTTATTCTCCATGGCTTTTCACTCGCCCTCGTTGAGTCCGGCGACCGAGTCCCACTCCAACCGTGGCTTTTGCCACTCACCACCTCCATCCTCCGCCCGTGACTCTCCATGCCTGCCGCGGAGGAAAAAAAAAACAGCGTCTAGTGCCTTTTATTTTTGAAGCTGTGTTAGGGTTTAGAAATTTCGAGAATCGAGAAAGACTCAACTTAAAGGGTATATTGGGAAGTGCAGTGGCGAGGAATGTGCAATGTTCTGATCTTTGAAAAGTGGCCTTTGCGCTCGGAATCTGGGATGGTACTTTCCACGATTAAAGAAACTATGAACCCTCTCTTTTTTAAAAACTTTTTTTCGGTTTATTCAAATTTAAGAGAGAGACAATGAAAATGAAAATGACCGCTTATGGATGCTGCAGTGTTTTGATACTTGGGTTGCAGTAAAACCAACGACTTTGTCCATTTTGGTGTGTGAGTCTCATGATTCGTTTCGTTTTACATACGACGTCACTTCTGCTGTCCACCACATTTCCTGGAATCCCAATGAAATTATTTTCCTCAGGAAAATATGTTATCACTACAATGATTCAGTTAAAAGCTTTGATTCTTATTGATCGAGTCTAGAGTTAATATAATAATCTATAAAAGTGAGAGATTATACCTGACCAAATAAGTCTAGCTTACTAATCACTTAATTAGGTTATTTTAATGTTTGATACATGTTATTTTCTGACTTCAACGTGAAGGACCTGACAAATGATGAATACTACCAAATTATTCTGAAAACACTTTTGGATTGTTATCAGAGAATACAACATGTATCATGTATGTGGCTGGGATGCGTGCATTTTTCGTTGTCTGTTATGTCTTCTTGATGTCCTTTTAATTGTTTTAGATGGTGCACAAAGTTCATACACTCTTTAGGCCCGAATCAAATGAGTAATTTATAATTGTGCGTCAATAAAATTAAAACTTAAGCCTATCTAAAACTCCATAATACTATAAGTGGGTTAATTATATAGTATTGAAAAAAAAATTATTATTTAAAATTTAATCTAATTGACAAGGAAGCAAAGTGGTTGTGTCTGGTAGTGGAAAATTTATAAATGAGATTATAATTTGAGATGGACATCAACTTCCCTCTCTGAAGTAGGCGGTACATTAGATGAAACATAAAGGTGGAAAGGAAAGAAAATGGATTGCAGAGTAACAGGAGAGGTGTTAGAAGCAGAAGAAGAGAGTAGTCCTACTGATGTAATTGCATTTGCATGGGAGCGTCTATGGTATTGGTGAGTGTGGATTTGGAAACGCCTTGCTCTCTGACGCTCTTTCTTGTGAGCATTCTGGTGGCCCCCTAAGGCTTGAGAGTTAGCGAATACTCGCTTGCAGTAGTGGCATCTGAATTTTCTGTCCTCTCCCACATCTGCAAATTCCTCTTGCTCTGTTAGTGGGAAACCAAATAGTTTCGGTGCCGAAGACATGTATGCTTCTTTTCTCTATCCATCTACCTCGTCCTGCCACATATATATACACACATTAACTGTGTCCCAATCCTTCATTTAATTGCCCTATTGTCTTTTCGCTATTGCGGACTTATCTTCTATTCCTATCCAAAACAAAATTAAAATACCATTTCATACTCGTGTGCATATTTTATAACCCTTTAACATACTCATGTCAATTATACAACTAGACAATATCATGAATGATATAAAACAAAGAATAAAAGATGGACTTCAATTTTTATGCAATAAATTTAAACCAAAACAAGTTAAAGACAAATGTTAATGTAACACATTCTTTTAAATATATTTTGTATTGTTGATTGAAATTTATTTTTTAAATTTTGATAAGTCTCACTCCTTATTTTTTTTAATATATTATTTTGAATTTTTTTTGGTATATATATTATATTCTCACTTCTTATTTAATAACTATTTTTTTTAATTTTATAGTTTTAATAAATTTTAACCAATAATAAAAATATATTAGAAGGAGTATGGTAAAGAGAGTATTGCAGATAATCTTCATTGTTAAAAAAGTACATTATTCATCTGGAGAGCTCGTCTTACTTGTTAAATTTGTATAAAAATCTCAAGTATATCTTTTTAATTTTTGGTATATTTTAAGAAAGAGGTCATTTTTTAAAAACATATTTTGAAGAAACATTTAAAAAAAACTATTTTTTTTACTACTAAGGTTAGCCTAGTGGTTGGGATAGTTAGAAGCATGAGGACTTAGGTTCAATCCTCACTGCAATCATCTTTTTAATCTTTCCTATCTTTAAAAAAAAAAAACTTATTTTTTGAATATGGGAATCCAACAACCACTATAATTTATTTATTTGAAAATTAAAATCAAAGAAAGAATTGTATAAGGTTAATTTGAATGGCTCGCTAGAAAAGTACTATCAAAATTTTTGATGTTATATTATTTAATAAACTTGATATTTGGGTAAAAAAAATAAACTTGATAATTAATATACGAATAATAATGTACCAGCCTGATGTAAAATTTTTCACATTAATATTCTTACAACATTATTGCTAGTAATTAAATTCAATTTGTATTATTTACTTTTTCAAAATAATTATCAAAATAAAGGTATGAATTAATTATAGATTACAATTTTCAAAAAAAATTATCAAATGATATAAATATCAAAATTTAGATCGGCATCAAATTAACTTCCTTTACAATGTAGAGGTATTGAACGAATTATTTCAAAAATCAGAATAATATATACTGTGTAGATGAAGAAATAATATACGTGCTCATGTTTCTACATTTCCTATCAAAACGACACGTGAGAAATGGCTTGAATATGCAGTTAATGAATCACAATTTGGTTCATGTATCAAAAACAAAATAAAAGGGAGCAGGAGAGCGATCGTGCAATACAGTAGTACTACAGGGAACAGGCCACGCCCGACCATTGAACGTGTGAAAGTGAAAAAAAAGTTACTATGCCCACCTCACAACTCTTTCATTTCTTCTTTCTCATTCATCTCATTATTTATATCCACTTGTCTAGATCTAGATCCTCCACTTCCCCTTCTTAAATTTACTTCACTTCATTAAAGAATTTTTTTTTTAAATTAATACATAGGCACGCATGTGGTTATAGAAAATATACATGTGTATAAATATTGATTTTCAATACATTAATGATTAAAATTAATTTTTTTTATAGAAAAAGCTGTATATAAATATTTTCATGTCCTGCCTTTAAAAGTCAAATTTTAATAAATTAAGATTATAAATATTTAATATTACATTAAAGATAAATATATTCATATTCGGTTAAAGTTATTGAAAAAATCGTAAATTTTATGTGACTTATTCCAGAAAATATTCCATGATGTTGAGGTTTTGTTTTCTGGCATTAGTTGTTGATAAGCCTCAGATGTGGTTGATGAAGCGGCCCTTTACCTCAGATGTTTATGGCAAAAGTATATATGTAGTTATACTATTGCATGCTTTTATCTATCCGTTTCCTTTTTATCCAAATGAAAATCATAATTCATGGCATTGATTCAAAGGACGCAATGCACTCCCATTACATGACCGCAACCGCACTGAATGGACTAGGCGTGGCAAAATGGTTGAATCTGATGTGTGGTAAACCCACGTTTCTCTGAATAGTTGTGGTGAATACATGAATTGCCACGGTTCAATGTATGCGATTATGACATATATCTTCCCTACAAGAATCAAGTTGACATGTTTATGAGGGGCTATGATTAGATATGAGCAAACATCCTTCTCCGTCGTATTATATAGGTTTATGTTTTATATGAGACAATCCCGCTTGTGATGTGATGGATCTTTTGGCTCATTCATAGCCATAGGGCGTGGAAAATGGAAATGCCAAGCCAAGATAAGGGTTTAACTAGCTTAAATTGACAACTAGATTCTCTAAAATAGTAAGAATAATAATGTAAATAATCATAATCGTTGAAAAAATCATTATTTAATACTTGAGTACATTTATAATTTGTCATATATACATATATAACATTTTCAGTTTTTTTTTAATAATTGAGATTATTTATTTTGTTCTTAAGAGTGAGATTTTTATTTAATATAATATTTATATTAAATTTATTTATCTTAAAATATATGCAATTTAAAATATATTTTAATTGCATGTGTATATTTCTTTAATTATATCATTTAACTATATATATAATATAAGATTAGTATATTGTGTCAATAAGTCAAGTAAATTCGCAATGTAATTTAAATGTTGTTAAATTGGATTTGAATGCACAAAATTGGCTCTATCAAAATTTTGGATCAAGTAAAGAGAAGAATAAACTCATTATAACTTGTGGCATGAGCATCATATATCTCCAATAATTAATCAATGGCTAAACAAAGAAAGCTTAATATATAATATTACCCAAAAAAAGCAAGCTTAATATTAATTTATATTCAGGATAAACACTTTAAAATATGGTATTTTTAAATTAACGAAAGTAATTTATTAATATTTCTATATTGTATTTTCCTTTTCTTTTAAAATTTTAAATATAAATTAATTATTAAATTATTGTAATGAATTTTATGTATCATTTTCTTTAAATTAAACTAAATAGTGAAGTGTAATTAAGCTTTTCACTAAAGTAAACACATAGATATACAAAGAGACTCTTGTGAGAATACTCAATTATTGTGAGAAATTATAAATATATATTATTAGATTAGATCAAATTGAATGATTGAGAGGAAAAGGAAAATATTCATGACTTTTTTTGAAGTAATCATGTAATTATAAACTAATTTATAATCTTGATATATATATGTTATATAATGATCTAAAGAGTGTATACCGCGACGGCAAAAGAAATGATATTATTTGTTGATAAAGCAAAGAAATAAATACAGTTTTTTAATTGAAAGAGATAAAGATACGATAAGATAATGATGTTTTTAAAAATATTTAACTACACCTAATAAACTAATCACTTATCAATAATTATAATTTTATTTTTAAAGTATTATTTATAAATGCGAATATTTTAGTTAACTAACGTGTATAGCACGAGTCTCTAAATTGAAGTAGAAAGAATCGCACTAACTTAAAACACACTACGTAATAATAATAATAATGATAATAATAATAATAATATTATTATTATTATTAATAAAACCTATGTATATATATATATATATATATATATATATATATATAATTGAAAGATATTAGGATATTAAAGGTGTATAGATATGACACACGGACGAATTAATTATGTTTTGGGTTATGAAAACAAATGAGTAATATACAATCGACAACTAATCAAACATGTATTATTTTTAAATTCGTGTAAATAGAAGATTATTTATTGAGAGATTAATTTATAAATAAATATTAATATATTTTGAAAAAATTAATAATTAATTTTTAACTGGATTTTCTTGAATATATTAAAAAAAAAATAAGTGAGTAATGTAGTTGCACTCACCTTTGGACGAACCAAAAAAAAAGTTGCACTCACCTTTCATGGAGTTTGTTTAGATAATGCACGCGTCTTCTTTAATTTTTAAAAATGATTCACTTCTTTTTAAAATAATGTTATTAATTAAAATAGGAGAAAAAAAATAAAAATTAATTTATATTTTTGCCAATCAAATATGTATTTATTCTTTAATTTTGAATTACATATAATATTTTATTTTTTATAAAATTTTCATCGTTTTAAAATTTTAAAACAAATTTTTTTAATCAACTCTTAAAAATTATTTTTTGAAATTGATATATTTTTCAAATCATAAAATACATAATATTTATGATATAATTTGAGAATTAAAATTAATCAAGAGATTAAATTTTATTTAATTATTAATATTTATATACATAATTTATTCTCCCTAAATAATGTATAAATTATGTTATTTTATATAAAAAAAATTATATGTATCATTTAAATAAATAAATAAAGGAAGATAGTGTTTACTTAAATGATTTGATGTACTTGGCAAGTCCGTAGTGTTTCGAAACATGGACACGTGTTTCATATGCTTACTAGGTATATATCGAAAAGAAGACGAAAATGATGTCGGCCACTAGAACGCGCGTGTCCTTTGTTCGCATTGTTCGGTCCTAAATTGGGGTCGATCGGTTGATGACAGTGTCTTCCATGGCCCTGCTTGCTTAGTAGTAAGATGTGTGACAAACCTTTCAAAGTCTGGTAGGGTATCTCTTTAACGATTTAATTGTTCATGAGATTTGTCTATATTTAAATTTTCACTTTATGGAAATGGTCCCGCTTCTCCCTACCCCTTAATTTGAATCATTTCAGTAGACAGCGTTCGTATAAATCCATGTGAAGTTTCTGTTTCTTATATGTACTTCCCTACTTTAGCAAGGGAATTAATTTCAGAATTCAGACGCATTTCAAGAACCTAGATACTTAGTTCAGTCCCCCCAAGGCCCCAACACCACTCTCTATTCTAATGCTGTCAAATCCCGCCTTCC